GGGGGGGGGGGAGGGAAAAAAGGGAACGGACGGGTGCAAAAGTACTTTACTCGTTAGGTGACTTTACGTGCACGAGACGCCTACGTGATGCGCATTGTTAGCGTCACACAGCGACCCCGTGCGCCTCTTCATTTTCGAATAAATATCTCCATAGCATTCTAACGAGAACAGTCCAAAAGCTATTACCTTATGGCAAGAAAGAAACGAGCGTCTAAATATAGTTAAGGACCGCCTTTTGTCAATGCGCAAGTAAATCCTTTCTTATTGTCGAGATTACAATTGTAAGACTTTTCAGAATAATACGAGTAACCTGTAGGTTTTTACTTGAATTTAAATTAAAAAAGTACCAATTACGATATTAATTACAAAATTAACACAAGTAATATAAAAGGAGTAAGTAACAGGAATTTGAGGAATGTATTTATTAATGTATAAATTATTACATCGATCTGGATAATATATTCATATTTTGAATTCATTATATCTTGCTTTTATTCATATCTTTGTACAACATTTTTTTTTACTTGTAAGACTGACTGAGTAATTAAATTTAATATACAATATATTCCAATACAATTTAACAAAGTTTTACAATTTTGTAACATAATTTACTTATTCATATCGAAAATGTTAATCAAAATAACAACAAATATTCTCTCAAATTAATCATGAATATATTTGTCATATTACTAATTGCGCAGGTGAATATAAATCACCAGTCATTAAATTATTGATTTTAATTTCAACTGGCGATTTTGAGACGAAAAAGGTATACGTTGAATTAGAAATAAACTAGCGTGTTTACGAGTCGAAAAAGAGGACGGTTACAAAGTCAACTTTGCGAAATATGCGCGCGATGCGTGAAGGAACAACCTGGAATCCACGTTTATCGCCCCGGCTGCACCGTGGTAGGTTTCGGGTAGATCCATGGATTCGGCGCGTATCCCGGCCTTTGGGGTATCGGATAGATCGTAATAGCTCCGGATGCGACTGCAGGCCCGGGAGTCGATATCGCGTGCGCAAACGCAGCGATGGCTATTAAAGCTGCCGCAATGATAACGACTTTTCTCAGCGAGATCTGGAAGCGGAGACGCATCGTTTGAAATACGCACCGTCACTTTTAATGGCGATTACGTAAAGCTATAAGATGCTTCGTACGCAATAATTCAATTCGTATCACGGCGCTTTTCAAATTTTCGAAGTTTTACGAATAGCAAATGTTGTTACTGAAATAGAGTAATAATTATTATCTTTACGATTTCTCTCTCTCTCTCTCTCTCTCTCTCTCTCTTGAGACGGAATGACGAAGAATACTGTTATTACTATCCTTCATTTTTGCAATTTAAACCGATGGAATGTTTTACAACTCTGCCACAATTTAGCCTGAAATATGATCTAACCAACTAGTTTTACCTGTTTTTCTTGCCGGCCGGTAGATGATTAGAACAATTCTTAATGTGGCACTTTCGCACTTTGCATGTGCGCTCTGGAGAAAAATTTGTTTCCCGTTCAGGCATCCCGATGGTGTGAACTTTTACTCTCTACCGATCGTCTAAATTGCTACTCGCCGATGCACGATAAAAAGCACGTTGTGGATTGAACGTTACTTTCTCTATGACTATTTGAACTATGCAAACTGTCAGTCCGAGGGATAAATAAGTCACGTAATGTATGCAATATTTATACTGCGTCTTCACATTCAATTAGATTGCACTGCAATTGCAGTTGAACGGAGGAGTAGGGGGGGGGGGGGGATTTGTCGTGAATTTATAAACTGTCACTTGCTAAAGTACGATTATTTATTTTAGTCGTAACTGTAAATTGTTCAAATAGAGATGATAGGTCTGTTTCCGTTGAAGTATCTCATGGGCAACGCATAAAGGATTTTATATATTAAATTTAATACATGAAAAACAAAGTATGATAGAATATAAAGTTACTGCTAGAGGTACGCGAATAAAGCATTTACATGGTCGATTCGAATTAAATCGAATTTTTTGTAACATGTTCGAAATTTTCCCAGATTAACATTACATGTTAATTTAAACGTAATAAATATCAAAACTTATAATTTACATTACTTTACGCAATGATTTAAATAAACTGCACGGAAAGAACAATTTTGCTGGATCCAGATTTGAAAATAATTTTTGTTCTATAATCAAAATAATTTTGTTGGAAAGTCACAATGATTGCTAGAATATCAAAACATTTTATAGCAATGGTTATAATTTTTAACTTTCCAACGAATTATTTTGATGATTAAACAAGAATTATTTTCAAATCTGTATTTAGCAAAATTTTTAAATCTTTCAACAAAATCGTTCTTTCCGTGTGATAACCTGTTTCGATTTACATCTTATTACAAAGAATTATAATCTTATGTGACATTTTGAACTGGAAAATATTAATAACATGTGTATACACAAATAGTTAGACTGCTTTCAAATATTTTATTAATCTATATGAATACATCAGGGGAGACCGAGGCTGATTGATACAGTTTTTTAAATGATATTTTCACATGTAACTAATAAATAAAATAAATACCGCAAAGATATTTTTCAATAGTCACATGCTTCAACAACATAGAAATTATTTTTATAATTTAATAATGTAATTAATTTTGTTGTATTAATGGAAAATATAAAGTAATGCAACTTGTAACAACCGGTCCCATATACGGGGTCAATTGTTATAATTACTAGAATTAGTTGTTACACATCCTGCAGATTTCAAAATATAACGCATTTAATTGAAGAAAATACAAAAAATTGTGCATAACATAACTTTATTTATAATTTTCAAATAAAATATACACATTAATGTAACATTAATGATATAAACATAAATGTTTATCAGTCTTTCTCTTACATAAATCACAGTGGAAAAAAATATAAATATAAGATTGCACTAAGAAAGACTACAGAAATGCAACATTATTTTAAATTTGTTTCAATTAAAAATAAAAATAAACACTGTAACAACATACCCCGTCACAACCAGTCCCGACTTACCATATTTATACAATTTAATTGTTGCTTAAGCAAAAAATATATTTTAAAATGTTAATATAAGTAAGTTATTACTTGTAAAGTAAAGATTCTAAAAAAATAGTTGGAACTATAATACAATAAGCAGATTTATAAATATAACATTTAATATATCGCTGATTTATTTTACTTTTGGCTACCAAAAACTGAAATTATTTTTTATTTCTGAAAATATGTTATTCAGTCCAAAATATCTTATTGCATGACTGCAATGTTTTTGCGGAAATACTGTATTTTTTATATAATATTACCGTTTGTCATTTTGCAGCAATTTTTAAATGTATCAACGTGCCTCATGTATCAATCAGCCCCGGTCACTCCTACATATATCAAAAATACTTATTTATTAGATAAGAATAATTGGTCGTGCGGGAGATGTAAATGAACCAAATAAAATAGATGATCGATTCGAAATCGAACCATTGTTGATTTGAAATTCTCGAACTGTTTGATTTCGAATCTTGCAGATTCGAAAACGAACTCGAATCGACTCTCCTGTGATTCGATTCGATACTAATCGCATTCGAATTCGAACTATTCGCACACCTCTAGTTACTGCCTGCGTTTTTTCTGAGAATTTATAATAACTGGCCGCTTCTCATTTAAATGGGATATCGTTACAAAATAGATAGCTTCTTTTTTTTTAATTTCTCGCCAGCAAACGGACGAGCATATTAAAGGAAGAGTGACTTTGTCGCGCATCGCATCAGCCATAAATTGCTGTGTCACAATCATAATTATGCCGTTATTAATTACCGTTACCAAAGAGACATTTTCGCGCGGTATATTTTGACTAATTGTAAAAGAAAGAACGGGTTCACACACCGTAAATTCTTTAATGTGTGTTTTCGTCCAATATATAAGCTTCGTGAGGGGAATGCTCGCAGTGCTCGTTCGAATGCAGAACGTCGTCCGCGGCGTTGAAATCAACCGAGCATCCGGAAGGAGAAAACCGAACGATCTTATTTCATTTGCAAGTAAATTCGACGAAGGCTGACGACAGACAATCGTGTTAGCCGCGGTGAATAATGCATTCGTCCGACTTTATCGTTTTTATCGCCGCTGTGATTTTCCATGTTTACGCGCAGTAAAACCCGTAATTTCGTATTAATGAAAAATAGATCAAGAGCTCGATACGAGTTATTACTCATGAAAGTTATGCTAGGAGCGCTTATAACATGGATTGTGATAGAAGCATTGATACATTGATATCAATCGTATTTCTGTTTCTTTTTTTTTTTTTTTTTTTAATCAATTGCGTGTAGAATTTTCCTTCTCTTGGTATGTGTGCCAGTTGATTAATTCAATTTATTAATAATTAATTTTGTATGCGCAATATGCAGATTTGATAAAGCTGAGTCTCCTATTTCTGCATGACGTAAACATATTATATTAAACGGTGAGAACAATTATAATGCTCCATTTTCCAATGACGTGTTACGGCATTTACGTACAATTAATTATCTCCACATCTTTTTCATTTATTTTTTATAACAAGCGAAAATTTGTTCACGGAAAGAACAATTTTGCTGAATCTAGATCTGAAAATAGTTTTTGTTCAACAATCAAAATAATTTTGCGCGAAAGTCAAAATGATTGCTAGAATAGTCAAAATGTTTGATATAGCAATACTTATCAGTTTTAACATTTCAACAAATTATTTTGATGATTCAACAAAAAATTATTTTCGGATCTGTTTTTAGCAAAATTTTTAGACCTTTCCACAAAATCGTTCTTTCCGTGTTTGCTGCGTATTACCATGATATGTCGGAGCTCTAATCGGATGTCCCTTGACGAAGCGATGCTCGAAACGAACAATACGCATCTTCAAATGTCGGCAGACTTTTTATATGCGGTGGATTTTAAGAGGTGGATATTCGGGTCAGGACACGTATGTACGTGAGAAGCGATATCGCCGATATGTGCGCGCGTGTCCAAGGAATTGCCAGCCAACAAAGTCGGACTTTACGTTTTATAATTCGTGCTATAGCATCGCAGCATTCAATCGGACAGATGCGCGTCATTGCATATAGACCGCGGAAGAGGAAGGCAGAGAGTTAATCCATATTTCTGTGCGCAGCGGTGCGAGCAATTGTTGTATAACGTGATTAGAAATGGGAGACTTTGTCTGATGATTAAATTTGCGTATTGCAGCGTATATGCGCGCAAATGAATTATTAGCGGGTTTAACTGCGATTATATTGGAGAACTATACGATTGTCACGATTACAGTTATACAATTATTCAAGGACAGATGCAGCATATGTATATGACGAAGAAAACGGAGCAATAAAAAGTATGATAAAATACAGGTTTCTGCAGATGTATAAAGAAGATAAAATATAGATAATTACACGGAGAGAATGATCTTGCTAGAACGTTTAAAAATTTTGCTGGATACAGATCTGAAATAATTCTTGTTGGACCATCAAAATATAATTTTGTTGGAAAGTTAAAAATGATTATCATTTTTAACTTTCCAACAAAATTATATTTTAATTGTCCAACAAAAATGATTTTCTGATCTGTATCCAGCAAAATCTTTCCGTGATAAGTATCAGGATAGATTGTGGAATGATTACGAACAATTAAGATGGGAAAATGCCAACGACGGTCAAAGCAGATCTTGGTGCTCGATAATATTATAATATGTTCGGTTTAGAGCTGCGTTGAAAGTCCGACGATTATGCGGTGCGCCGCGGTTTATTTAACCGAGAATTGTAATATTCACATGTTACAATATTATCTAGCACCAAGATCCGCGCTTTGACTGTTATTAGCGTTTTCCCATTTTTTGTTTATAAAATTGTTTATAAAATGTAGATTTAACAATTCTAATATGGTACTTATTAAAGAAATGTACGTGTATAGTGGATGATCTTTGCGTGAATGAGCTTGTGAAGGTAAAATAACGTTTTATCGATAGAACAAGCCGATACTGATTCGATATACATAACCGATGATTTGATCGCGTGACTTGATTTTCCAGAGCTGAATTTTTCATTCTTTTTCATAGAATAAAGAGATATGAGTTAGTTATCTGAAATACTGAGTAAAGATATAGATATGAATTACCTAAAATACTGATCCGTAAAAAAAATTTCCCTTATCAAAGAATCATTCGACAGACGTTTTTTAATGTTTTATTTTCTTAGAATTGTGTCCGCAAAGAATTGAGTTCTAGGAGGACACAAGATATTCTCTGCACCGAAAATTCAAACGATGACAATTAGCCAACACAGGTCCTTGACATATTTGCGCACGTTGAATACTAATGGATATGGTAGTTTTCCTATAGAATTATTCGAAACATTGTGTAAATACGAATTATAATTCCAAAAACCAGTCCTACTGGTCTTTTGCTGTTTACGCTAGTAACATCCTAACAAAGAAGATTATTTTATTTTAAGGAGAGAATGTTAAAAGAGGTTTTGGTAGTGAGACACGCGATTTAAGATTTTCAAATTAAAAGTTCCCGGTCAATCAATTTTTTTTGTAGAGATTGATAATGAGAAACATTATTTTATAAATTAATTAGAAATAAATCTTAACTCGAAAGTCGAAAGCTGGATATAGAATTAGCAAAATATTTAATATTGAATACGTAAAAACTTGCGATAAAAATTTTTTCTATGCTTTTATATGATTCTTATTATTTTTGTCTAATTATTCTTATTTTTCTTATTTTCTAAAATAAGATACAGACAGTACTTTTCAAACAATAATCTGATGGAAATCATCAAATGTCCTATCTTATCTGTATTTTATATTAATTTTTTTAAATATTAATAAGTGTCGGAATATTCTGTAAAGGTAAAAAATGCATTGCGTTTGAAGAAATCTTATAATTGCTATTATCTATTTTAAAATGCGTGTTTTGATTTACAAACGCGAAATTAATCATGCTAATATCTTTTCAGAGATACGTAATTCCAGACATACGTCAATGATATGTTAATGAATTTTTATTCGCAATTCTTAATTGCGATCGTTTCGTGAGTCACGTTTAATTATTAGTAAAATCACATTACGCGTATTTCACGGAAAAACGAATTGTCGTCATGATCAATCGTGTCAGCTAAACAATTCCGCGTATAATTTGTTTTTTTCAATTTCGATGAATAAGTAATTGATAAGAAAAAATATAAAGTATCTATCACTGTTTGCTCATCGATTACAGTAGCAGACATGTTTCTTGCAAAAGTACAGTTCAGAATAAATCTAATTAATAATATAAATATATCCACATAAAATGATGTAATATAAAAATATAATCTAATCTTATTGTTAGAAAATATACAAATAAAACTTAATAATATATATAATACTACACCGTAACGACACGTATTTATTATATTATAATTTGTACAATTTATACAATCTAACAACTCTCAGTCTAGTTCTAAATTCATCAAGGAATCAAGCCTTTGCATTTGGAATTATTATTTTGAGTACAAAATTACGTTATGCAAAATTATTTTATGTCAAAAATATATACTGATATCTTAACAACACCACAAACATTTTTATTGCGCGCGACATATTTATCATAACGTATAATATTTCCCAAATTACAATTTATATTTTTGTGATTACACTTGAAATATTTCTAAAGTCTTATTACAAACAAATATTTCTAATTAAACTATTCAAAAAATTATTCTATCGCAAGATTAACGTACAAAATTATAATTTTATATTAATCTTCCTGAGAATTAATCAACAATAATAATCGATACTTAAAAATACATCACGCAATAAGTTTGAGCTCATTTCAAATGGAATTTCCTGAAAATTCTATAAGCTATAAATGATTATATGTGTTTACATATTTCTTTCGATAAGATGAAACGTCAGCATTTAACGACATATGACCTTTGGATGCATTACGTATATAAGGCAGTTATCTTATCACATGCTCGCTAAGATTAGGTCGTTACGTTACTCGACGAGCTAGTTTCAATATTATTTGAAAGAGATGGAGCCACAGTCTCATCAATATAATCCTGTTCCTCGGTCGCGTGCTTAGACCACGATGAAAAATGGATTATTCTGAAAAAAATTATAACTCGTTAAAATTAGATTACTCGAATTAAGTAAAGTATCAAGAATTTTCTAATACATTTTTAATCGAGATAGAAAAATTGATGTACGAAAAAATATCATCTAAGAAAATTGCAAATCACTTACAAAATTAGCAGAAGCACGGTGATCTGCGTGGCGACTGTCAGCCAATAAAAAGAGTTCGGTGCTGTTTTTATTGTGGCGTTATAAATCTGGGAATATAAAGTCCCGCTAAATAACGGGACTGCGTTATCGCATACGGCAAGCATCGCGAATACCTTTCCTGAAGAACAAAAATTATCTTTTTGTCACAAAAAAGAAAAAAAATCAGTGTGGCACAAAAAATTGAGACCGGTATTAGATGAGAGATCTAATTTTGACATATGATATATCCCTTATTCAAATTCTGTATGTAAAGTATATCTTCCATGTCAATATGGCATCAGTAGGTTGAAATTATATCTCCACTGATCTATCGGAATTAAACCGGTTTCAATCTATGTGTAAAAATATAGATGTAATGGTTATTTTATGCACCTCGCTCCTCCACAGGCACAAGTTTCGAGGTCATAGACCTAAGTACCGGAGCTACTACTGGACCTAACGCAGCGACAACGGCACCTGCAAAATAATTATTATAAAATATATAAAACAAAACGTTTGATTACTTTATAATTCAAAAATGTATGCGTGTAATATCTTCATTTAAAAGAGTTTGAATAATAATGGCACTGTATAATATTCACAATTTTTTTCAATACATAATCGAGAAAGATATAAGATCTGTTACTTACCTACGTAAAATAATTCCGGCCGGTTCGCTAAAACAAATACTATTCTCCCAGATGCGTGCGCTATCGCTCCAACCACTATAATGAAAACGTCCTTCATTCCTAATAATTTACTCATGACAGGCACTCCAATTAGCGTTGCTGTTGAAACAAAATTCTTTTAAATACTTTATACTTTATGTCTTCGTGTTTCTAATAGAATTTTAAATATTTATATGCTTCTTGTAAACTACATATATACTGATAATATATACGTACATACAACATGACGTAATTTTATTGTGTGCTGTTTATTTATTTTAACTATTTATATTTAAATTATTCATTATTACGCACTGAGAATGGCTAGAATATTAGTCGAAATGTTTGCGTTTCTTAATTTTATAATTTTTAAATACATATTTTCAATTCATGACCTCATAATGGTATACATTTATTAACTGGGCACCGTTTACTGCGTTAAACTCCCATCGCCTTTGTTTTTGATTATTTATACTGATAATATTTAGCTCTGATTTTATTTGAAAGGTTTATATAATAGTTATAAAAAATGTAAATATAAAAAAATTCAGGCATCCAAAAATAACACTTAAAAATTAGAAAAAAATTTAAATAACATTAAATTTTTTTTCAAATTTATTTATACGATAGTATAATAATAATAATCTCTCTTGTACATTCTCGTAATCGAAAAATCAAGCCTTTTATAAGATTGATTTCAATTTCGCGCAATTAGGTTAATAACTTGTTTATTATCGTTCATATAATCAAGACCATAAATTAGCGATCGGAAGTGAAAGCTCTTGCGATTTCGATAAGAAATTTCTCCTTTCACTCACGTTCCACAAAACACGTTGCGGATTGATATCGTTAAATTCGCGAAATGTCAATTCAACCAATTTGAATTAAAGTCTACGTCAAACTATACTGACCTAATACGAAGAGAGACGATTGGAACGTTTTAAAGTTACTAAAATCTGTCACGTTCCAGTTGAAGATTAGTGAAGTGTACATCTGGCTCTTGGGTTTCTCGTCTCTCTGGAACGTATACAGACACATCGCGAGCAGGAGTAACCACAGATGCAATTTGCCATGATTGCGCCTCGACTTCACCAACGTCCGCATTGTCGTGGCGACGTGTCTCATGTCGAAGAAGTCGAGCAGCCAGTTGGCACCCGAAAGCGGTTGTTGCCGCGGTGACGTTTGCCACTTGAGCCACACGAACGAATAAATAAGCGACAGCAAGAGCAAAGTCACGTTTACGGCGAACATAATCGTGTAGGGCCTGTTGACCAGGTGTGTGAACACGTAAGATCCAAGTGCAACTCCTGCGAACGAAAAGAAAACCTGTAGGATTGTTGACATATTACATCAATGAAAATTGCAAAGACTCTTTTACATAACCGCAGACATAAAAATGGCAGAACAATGTTGCCAACAATCAACAATATGCAATCATCGACAATCCATTAATTTTAATGGTTCAAAAATCGTTTACGGAAAAAGTAATTTTAGAATGAATATACAAGTATTTACTAAACGATATAAAAGAAGTCTAGAGAAGACGTCTTAAAAATTTATGTTCTTCTCCAGCAAACACAGATTATAACTACAATATTGCAATATCAACATTGTAATATTTCTGCAATATAGCTGGAATGTTACAATGCTAATTAGCAAGAAACTTCGACGATGAATGACCCAGCAAGCACAGATTATAACTGCAATGTTGCAGTATTGTAACATTGTAACATTCCAGCTACATATATTGCAGAAATATTACAATGTTGCCGCAACATTGTAGTTATAATCTGTGCTTGCTGGATCTATTCATCGTCGAAGCTTATTTATTCTTGCTAATTGCTATTTAAATAATTATACATTAGTGGAAAAAGTTTGTTGAGCATGCGTCTCCCTACCCGACGGCATAGTACTGAGATAAGCGACATCCAAGATCGTGATTCTCATGGTTCTCTGCTGCACGGAGCTCACGTCCGATATGTACGCGAAGCAACTGGCGAAGATCGCGACGTCGGCGCCCAGTAAGCTCATCGGCAGGGTCGCCGTGTACACGATCATGTTCAGATTCCAAGTGTCCATCATGGAATTGATCACGATCATGAAAGAGTAAATCAGTTTGCCCGTCAGGCCGAGGAGGAGCGGCAATTTACGTCCGCGCCGGTCGCTCCAGTTGCCGTAGAACATCGCCAAGATAATAGGCACTACATGTCCGGCAATGTCGTTCCATTGATGGAACTCTGCGACGGTCATCTGCAAGACAATTTTTTCTTAATGAAACGTAATTGAAGAGTGAAAGTCAATTACTGTCTCAGCAAAGCGAAAGCGCTTGTCATGAATGCGATGAAAAAGACAGTTGAAATGATGTCATGTGTAAAGTTGACTTACTAGCTCTGAAGCGTTTTATTTAATTTTCACTAAATAAACTTTCGTAAAATAAAATATACGTATGTGTGTGAAATGTAAAAGAATGGTATATTCTCTAACGTGACTCGCATTTTCGATGCGTGGATATCTTACGCTAATATTATAGTTTGACAAATATGTTTGCTTTGATAACAGCTAAGTTGTGCTGCATGATTATCTACTTTGATCAATAAGCTTCTCGCATTCTAATCGCAAATGAGATACGTACAAGAGTACTATAAAGTAATTAGTATTATTCTCAAGCTGAATATTTGCACTTGATAAGCAAGCACTTGTTCCGAAAAAAAATAAATTTAGTTTAATGAGCTGTCCCACTTTATCCGAGGAACATCCTGAGAACGTTCTTAGGACTAGGGTTGCCACAAAACTGGAAATCAGAGAAATCAGGGAAAAGTCAGGGAAATTGAAAATGGTCATGGAAGTCAGAGGAAAGTCAGGGAATTTTACAAAATTTTCTGGAAAATTAAAATTCTTGCTTTAAAGAAGTTTAATATGCGTATATCACACACTTATATAGTTTTGTTAGCTAATGTAATAAATTCTCTTTTTAATAGAGATTTAAAATGCTTCACTATAAGAGCATTAGAATTTTCAATTTATTTAAAACTGTTTTTTTTAACTTACTTCTAAGTTTCTTGTGTCATTTATAAATAAATTAATAAAATTAAAATTAACTTCATTTTTGTAATTTTTCTTTTAAAACTACGTATACCTTTGTATAATAGCAAGTCAGAGATTCCAGTAAACAAGATTTAGCTTTTATTAAAAAGAAATTATATTTACATGTTCCTTATATTGAATTATATTCTAAGCAGAAGAAAAAAATTGTGCGCATATATAAAAGAAAAAGATAAAGAAATACTAACAACTTAACAATTAAGTGCAAGTAATGTCAACAATAGTAGTAGTAATTTACATTGCTATGTTAAATCGCTCTCAACAAAATATTTAACAGTTTCCAAATCAAGACGGAATATAAAAAAAATCAAGTTATAAAATAATTACCGCTCGTATGTATAAAACAATAAAATAGAAAAAAGTTAGGTCAAAAATTTTTAATAATTAACGAATTGATGGAACGTTTTGGCTTACTTAGCCATCATCAGCCATCATACAAATTCACATTACAATTAAAATTGACATTATCGGCGCAATTTAATCAAGTTATAAAATAATTACCGTTCGTATGCATAAAACAATAAAATCTAAGATTTTATTGTTTTATGCATACGAGCGGTAATTATTTTATAATTATAACTTGATTAATACGCTGACCTTAAAATGCGTCCTACTATTAACTTAAATTGCGCCGATAATATCAATTTTAATTGTAATGTAAAATTGTATGATGGCTGATGATGGCTAAGTAAGCCGAAACGTTTCATTAATTTGTTAATTATTAAAAATTTTTTGTATTAATTAATCAACCAAAAAAGTTTTGCTCGTTTATTGGCCTAACTCTTTTCTATTTTATACAAAAAAATGTTTTAATATTATTGAAAGTCAGGGAAAATTATGAAATTTTGTCTGGAAATTATGGAAAAGTCATGGAATTTTAGAATGAAGAATTTGTGGCAATCCTAAGGACGAAAGATATTCTTTTAGAATGTTCTTTGAAGATTTGTGCTGTACGGGGATTAAACTTAACTTCGATAATTTGTCCGTATAATGTGTTTGCCTTTTCCCCTTCTCTCTCTCTCTCTCTCTCTCTCTCTCTCTCTTCTCTTTTATTTTAAATATGGTATACAATATTTACCTGTACTTTAGTCTTTATCGCTTTATTATCATCATCGTTTAGCTTCATACAGACTTCCTCAGAGTAACCGTGGTCCACTCGACACGCTTTATACCTAAAAAAGTCTTGCTCAACGATCGATGTAAACGTAAACGCCATCATGTAGAGCCACATAGTCGGCTCTACTGATACATATTTTATCCATCCGAAGTATTTTCGACACATCCTGTTTCTGTGAGAAGCTTCCGTCCGTGGCGGCGTCGCCTGGAAATTGCAAAATGAATATTGAAACAGCTTTATTTATTAGCAACATGTATGTTAAAACGATAATAAATTTTATAGTGTATAAAAGCTTTTATAGATAAATAGACAAAAAAGCATGCACTTTCGCAAAACTAAAACAAGCGAATAAATTAAAATATATAGTTGACATTTTTTTACATTTTTTTAAAACTTACAACGATAAAAACAAGAAACAAAATTTTAATTATAATCACACAGTTACACAATTTAGTATTAATAAATCATTTATATAAATACATTCTCTGTTACGTGCATATACATATAAAACGCATTCAGTATCATGTATCACGCAGTGTGACAACGTAGTCAGTCATTATAGTCAGTCGCAGTCACTGTTTTCATTTCACTATCGCTTATGTTATGGTTCTATTTAATTTTGATCTTTCGACCTATCTGCAATATCGTATCTAAAAAAGAAATACTAATAGCGTTCAATACTTATAGTACTTTTACGAGACTCTTTATGCAGTTAGGCTTTATAATTTTCTTCACATTTATTTTATTCTTTCTTTAAATTAATTATAAAGGAAAACAGGAAATCACAATGTATATACTGATAATTAATAATGTAAAAGCATTTTAAAATTTTCGAACGTGTTATAAAACAATTATAAAGTAATAAGATTTTAACAGATTGCTTTTATAACGCTGGAATACCTAAAAGCTAAATTACAGTATACAAACATAACGACTTGAAAAACGCTTTTTATCTATCTGATATAACTTTTATCTTCTCTTTTCAATGAACACTATCGTGCGCTTTACTAATTATTTAATTATTGCTTTGTTTTTGTTGATGATTATTTACAAGGAATGGAAAGTTACTTTTTAAAACTAACTAGTTATTGTTAAAAGTTGTTAAAAGTAACTTGTTATTCGTTACCGAGTTAAAAAAATAATTAGTTACCGTTACTAGTTACTGATTTTTAAAAGTAATTCGTTATCGTTACCGTTATACTTAAAAAGTAACGATTCGTTACTTTTCTGTTACTTTTTTAATGCTAAAATAAGATCAGTCTAAATAATTTAAGATGCAATTTTTTGTTTTAATATTAATAAAAGCAATACAACAATGACACTAGACCGATATATAAAATAACTAGAAAAATGAAGGCCTTTTCGATATGAGCTAGAGCTTCCAGCTTTCTGCTTAATATTTCGAAATATATATACATAACCAATTTTACAAACTACGCGCCAATTAAATTTTCAATCTTAAAATGCAATTTAGCTGATATTTTTCACAATAAATGTTTTAAACTATTTTAAGATGAAAAATAAATTATCAATAGGCCAAACTAACAAGCTTATTTAAACGAGGCAGTGTTTTTATTATAACAAAATTATTTTAAATAATTATAAGCATTATACATACATAAATTAATAATCATCGGTATATACTTGGACGCTATACGTGGTACATGTTTTGACCTAGACTGGTCTTCTTCAGCCACCTCAACGAATTACAATTAAAACATAAGACCACAATATATAAATTAATGCGTTACATTTGTAGAGTCAATTTTAATAAAATGCGTTAAAATTTATGAACAGTCGTCAGTGTAATGAGATTGAAATCTTCGTTCCAGCACAAATTGTCTGGTGTCTAAAAAACAAAGGAATGGTCGATTAGTTGGCGAGGATTAAAACGTCGTTATTAGAGTCAACTATTAAAAAAGAGGACGAACCATACAATTATTATTACAACAAAGATGTAAAAAATTAAAACTAATGTACATAAAAATTAAAAACTTACGATAACAAAGTTAAATCGCAGATTTCAGAACAAAGATTTCAATGATGAGTGAGAGAGAAATTAAAATCGAACTGTTCGGTGTCAAGTACAAAGAACGTATGAGCAATTAAGGAGATATTATTTAAAATAGTCTTAAAATAAGAGTATACTATGTAAATACTTAAAAACTGAAGATTAAATATATACATACGAAAATTTTGTCATAAATAAATGCAAAAAGTTCAAAATACAAAAAGTAACGATAAAAAATAATTGTATAATTCGTTACCGTTACCGAAAAAATATAATTACGTTACCGTTACAGTTATAAAAAAAAATAAAATAAAATAACATCGTTACCAACCCGTTACCAAAAAAGTAACCGTAACGGTAACAGCGTTACAAGTAACGAGTTACTTCCAATCCCTGATTATTTATTTTTCTATAGTTATATAAAAAAAGGATTATAGTTTCGTAAAAAATTATGAAGTTTTTCTGACGAAAACGTCGTAAAAATATTTAAGATCTAAAAATTAAAGTCCCGAGCTAATTAATTGTATTACATTGCATAATTAATTGTATTACATTGTGCATTACAAAAGAAAAATGTAATAATAATTAATTATAATAATAACTTTAAAATAAAAAAAACCACATGAATATTTTAATTATTAAGATAATATTTGAATTAAGATGGTATCTATTTATATGCGAGATTGAATGTGTTTACATTAAATGAAATATACATAAAATCAAAAAATTGTTTAAACAAAGATAGAATGAAGAACTATATTTAATTTTTTTCTTTATTATATAGAAACACTTTTAAAAAAGTAAGACAGAATATTTCTGTAATTTAAATATTATAATATTTCTGTAATTTAAATATTATAGTAACGTCATGCATTTACCTCTTCGATTTTATAGCTGCTCGTCGCTACCGGTTCCTCCATTTCTTTTCTTTTAACTAAAAATCTTCGATGCAAGAGAATTTCTTCTTGAGCTGTTTCATCATTTTTGCACAGTCCGCTACTTTACCGCTGCATACCTCACGAATTAAAACGAGATATACGCACATTTCCACATGAAACTCGCTGAGCTAGATCGTAACGAGCTGATAGGATATTTTATCTGTGTGTGCTAGCATTAGGTCGGGTTAATTATGCGCGTTATCGAACATACAATTTTAGAACATAATTTAAGAAACAGTATCTAAAAATTTCATATCTTTTCTAATGTTTGCTTGGATAATTGCGTAACAATTTCGATTACGTTTTAATCGCGATGCATTCTGCGTAGAAAATTGTTGCTCAAATTAAACGTTAATGCATGCTTTTGAATTTCATTATTAGAATATTGTCAGATTATAGGTAGAATATTCATTATTAGAAGTTGTCAGGTGCAGCATTACAAATTCGCTTAAAAAAGTGTTTTTATTAAAAGCTTTTGATGTCCGATACAAATGTGTGAAAAGTTAAAAAATGATAAGCTTTGAAATTAAATCTTTTTTTACATTGTTATTTTAAAACTGTTATCATTTACGAGCTCGTAATTATGACATTTCCGTTTCGATATTCCAATGAACTGATTTGTCGATTGGTGTGTGTTATGTACGTCAAACGAGAGTTAATCATATCAAGCAGATATAATAAGTAGGAACGCAGTGAGATATTGTCGTAACACTTACGATAATTAGATGTTGCAACTTGGATGTTAAAAGTGAGATGCCTAACTTTCAGACGAGACCGTTATTGAGAAATGTCACAACGAGCGATATATATATGATCGCGCGCTCGCGCGCTCGCGGTTTACCTGATAATATAATTAAAAATTATTTATCACACACACCATTGTTTCAAAATGGTAAATTGATTGAATAACACTATTTAATCGCTATTGTAAAATCACAGATACTCGTAAACGTTATCCGAAACTGCGTTTTCAATTTCTTTATTACTGATTTAATAATGATATAGATAAAGTACGAGATAATTGTTTTATTAATTATTTCACGATTAAAATCTATGAGCGCGATAACAAGCTTAAACGGGCATTTCTTGTTCTTGAATTTTTGAAAATACATTAAGGCGATGGAAGAGGTCGGAATTACCTTACAATTATATGAATATATCCGAATTGACTGAACGGAATTGAAAATCCTTTTACAGGATGGAAATAGACATAAAATTTAGTGGTGGGACGAAGAAATTTGTAGTAAAAACGACAAAAAATTAAAAAATTATTGTTTTTTGTTTTTACTGCAAATTTTTTCGTCCCACCACTAAATTTTATGTCTATTTCCATCCTGTAAAAGGATTTTCAATTCCGTTCAGTCAATTCGGAGATATTCATATAACTGTAATGTCGGTAATTCCGGCACCGCCTTAAACAGAATTTGAATTTGACTGTGTGTGTATATAAAAAGTATAGTAGTTAGTTTAATGTTAAAGTTGAGCTTTGCAGCAGTTCTTACATTTAAAATCATGATGAAGAAAGTGTTGATTAATGTTTTAGAAATTTTTACATATTTATAACATTCGTGAGTTTATTTGGATAAAGTAAATTAAGTGTCTTTTGATTAACGGGAACATTGTAGCACCAAAGTTACAACTTTGTTTTATATACAAAAAATTCGTATTTGCACACATGATTCAAATTACTTTGAGCGAAACAGTTTAAATTCTTTTAGAGAATAGATATCATTGATCCAAAATGCTCTACTATACAGTTGAAAAATTTGTGTAAAATTGAACACATCTCACATGTCCCAAACGGTCCACTCAAATTTTTGTGTTAATTTAACGCAAGATGAATATGTTAGAAGGTAACACAAAAACATTATGTAAAAATTAATACAAAAAATGTAACACTTTAATACAACTTGGAAACAAATTGTGAAAACATTATTCTTCAGTAAAATTAATATAACTTGTAAAATGTAAAATTAACAAGTAATTATCTTCTATTCATTTGTCTTAGAATTTTGCGGTTTAAAACTATTCCATTTTTATGTTATTCATTCACTTACTTATAAATTGTGTTATTTTGACACTGACTTGTGAGAAATATTGAATATCAATTTAACACAAAATATTTAAATAACGTAATCACATTACGGCAATAAATATGTTCAAAATTCGATACAAAATTTTATCAAGAACGTGAGTGGACCGTTTCATTTCAACGTAAATACAAAACGTTTTTTACTATCTGATAGAAGAAGAAATCTTTATTACTTCTAGCATGCCGCTGCACCGCTACTATTCTTTTCCACCGAACTCGAATAACCTTCGGCACTCTTGTCTTCCGTCGAAGTCATCGATGAAATCAGTGATACACGAGAATCACGCGTAACTGTTCGGCTAATGCTTCCGCGCACGTGGTTCGCATCTGCTCCGAACAACGCTATACGCGGTGCACACGCGCACAGTCGTTCCGCCACGTGAGTAAACGCATGTGCACGCAACCGCTGTGAGACTGGAGTAGCAGCCACGCGTGTCCGCTCGCTCGGAGTGTCCGACTCGCGTACTCCGTTCGCTGACTCGAGTCGGAGCACATTATCGACGATTTTACGTAATCGCCGCTCGGGTCCGCACGAGCCGCGTGCGCGCGCGAACATAATTGTGAAGTTGCGTTGTGACGCTGTCAGCGACTGCAGCGTTGTGCCTCCACGCGCGTTTCTGCGCGTTATCGGCCGATGTTGACAAATGTTTCGTAGGCGAGCCACATATGATACTCCGAGCATCCGCCGCGATATCCTAACTGGCGCCGACTGCGACTATCTTCGTCAGGTCGGCCATCCTCTCGGTTAAAACCGAGCTCGGCGACATCTTGTGGAGTGGAAAATTTTGCAGGGAAATTGTTTTCGAAAAATTTTCTGGATGATCGTAGATCCAAGGGCGATGTCTTGTATCTTTGACGATTTTATTCGGCAACCTTATTTATCATTTTGACTTGGGACAGGTAGTTTTCTGCTCGAAACACTAGTTTGCGGCAGACTGCGTGAGGTTGGCACTTGTTGGGTAACGTGAAGTATTGATCGCTTTAGTGACCTCAGTTTCTGTGGGAGATTTGAAAGAGTCGAGCGTGTCGCGTTGGTATAACGTTGCTACTATTGAACGTTACTTTTCACTTTTAAGATTTTTCACTTCACAGATTTTTATGAAATTTGATGTAACTCTTCTAATCCTCCTGTTACATCTTTTAATAATTTAATCAGCTTTCTAACAAGCTGAATATATAAAGATTAATGTATGACATTATATCTTAAAACTTCTAATTGTGTATTTTATTCGGTGATTAAAAACAGCTAGTGATTTCCGAACATTTGAAAATTCTTTTCTTAATAAAATCTAAATATATTTCTATGTATTTTAATAAACTCTTCCAGTAAAATAATACTTTACAAAGATTATAAAGTCTACGTTTGTCAAAATTAGGGAAGTTATATTACGGCTCTAGCTATTCGCGACAGCCGACAGTTCGTGTGTTAAACTGATGTTTCTGTTCTCAAGAAGAACAATAGGGAAACCGTGAGAATGCAGGTCAGGACAGAAAACCGGTCCCTTTTTTTGCTGAGTGAGTTAAAACTGGAAGGACTAAACTAGTTTGAGATATTTCGATTATCGGAGACATCACTATTCAATACTTAGAAATTCTCTGCTCTCTCAATCTAATTTTTACAAAAACAAAACAAAATTTATTTTGTTCGATTCATCATTTTAATTAAAAAAATTTTTTCCCGAAAATAAAGAAACAAACATGAAGGATATAAAAGTATATTCGATAAATTCCTACAAATCTTGTTCAAAGTCACAAATTAAATAACATTTAATAAAATGCATAAATTTGCATTTATACATTAAGATAATAAAAGATTATCACTGAGATGTAAAAATTAATCACGTGAATTATATTTTCCAAATGTTTTATTATTTTGAAGAAATAATTTTATCACGTAGAAAATCAGAACAAAAGAAGGGTGAAATGAGAGTGGATAGTTCGGTTTTGTTAAAAATTTATTTATATTTCATCAGTGTTAATCACGGCGCGCAATTATGGCTATGATATTGATGTGTCTTGTCAGTAAACTTTAGGCCATCGAAGTTACATAAACACATTTTTCTCGAAGTGATAATAAATAATACATTTTTTCGTCCTATCCCGTGCACTTTCGATTTCAGCTAGATAGCTTTCCATATTTGTCGATTCGTATCGTTATACATATTGACTTTAGGATCAACGCGACATTTCATCGACGTCGCAGACGAAGCTTCCCACGCTTCCCTATCATAGGCGAATTGCAGGGAAATCTGAAAGGGAAAATCATTTTCTGTCGAAGGAGACAATCGACTGTTCTTCCAATGTCGATCAACGCACTCCGATTCTTATGAGAATACTTTCTGGTATAACCACTTACAACCTCTCTTAACACTGTCGAGGCTGTTTTCCTCATTTAACGCACGCAATATTTTCACTATAATCTAGCCTTCGCTCGTTCAACATCCCAGTTACTAAAAAAGGTTGAAAAATAAATTGCCTATCTGTTGTCGAATGTAGTTTTAAAAGATTTTTAAGGGCTCAAGTTTTTTCGAATCTCGCTGCAAAAATGAAGATGTAGTACACCATAGATCTTGTCGACAGCTAATGGCTATCGCTATTATTTCGACGATTAACTTGTTGGCGCTGATGGGCTTTTAGTAAAACATGCAGTTGAGGGAGGCTTGATGTAAGAACTTACTCAATTACTCCGATACGGTGCGCAGTAATTTCGAGTAAGAGCTAACATGAATAATTTGTGCTTCGACTTTACGTCGACAGTTTTACGCGTGGAATTTACTGTGGAATAATTTAACATGAAAATATACTTATTCGATATCATAACGATTAAATAGAATTAATTTCTAAAAAATTTGAAAATTTTAATATATTAATATTTCGTATTTAATTTTTAATCAAAAAGTATAGATATCTGTTTTAAATAAATATCCCGTATTGTTATAATCAGGGTTGGGCAAAATACGTTATTAAAGTATTTGAAATGCAAAATAAATAAAAAAAAATAATATTAGCAATCTTAGTATTTGAATTACAAAACAAAATATAAAATACTTTTAATCTTCCGATTTAAAATACAAAATACTTTTAAGTTTTTATTTGAAATACAAAACACTTTTTAATTTAATCTTTTAATTACGATAATATATAATATTAAACTCAAACAGTCTCCTCTCCACTTTTAGAGAGAGAAAGGAAAGTTGTTTCATTCTCTTACACTCTTTAATAGTCCTATTGTCTCGTATCAACCGCACGAGAAATCTATTTACTTATGTGAGATTATGAAATTTGACTCTGATGACTTGACATTGCTTGAAACGAAAATAGTTAGTGTCGTTAATTGCCATATGAGAAAAGTTTAAGTTGCTATTAATTGTTGTCAAGGATTTTAGTATTTCAAATATAAAATAGATTGAAATTGTATTTGGAATACAAAAAACAAATTGTATTTCAAATACAATTAGTATTTAAAAGTATTTGAAAGTATTTGAAATATGCCCAGCCCTGATTATAGTGCAACAATTCTTTAAGTTTATTGTACATTTATTTAACGTGTATATAAGGCTTTATTTCTCCGATATAATTATGAAAGCATTTAACAAATAAATTTTTGTTAAGAGGAAACTCTATGGTTGGAGACAAAAGGAGAAAATTATCGAGTTTGAGCATAAATGATCCGGTGCTCATTAATTAATACGGTTCGGTCGAGATCTCTTTGCTTCAACAATTGACTAGTTTTGTCGATCAACATTTAATATTAACTGGACCTGCCAGTGCTATTGAAACTCTCGCGAAAGCATAGATTCAACTTGTACCTTATATCTGTTTACGATACAATTATCGGTATTAATCATGGTCATTCTAGCTCGAGCGTTAAGTTCGTCGCAGCACACGTAATTGGATTTACGAAAACTAGCATTTAACCCAATTCGGCGAATGATGCGATACATTATTATTTTTCACACATGACATATTATTCAACGAATTAGTTAAACGATGTGCTCGTTAAACACGATATCCATTTAATCACTCGATAAAATCAATCGATTTAGACTTATCAAAATATCTCTTATCGTGCTCTATTATTTTGTCTACAACAAATATAGCTCGTTTCATTTCTTTTTATTTAGGGAAGGATTGCCTAGGCGCAAAGAAGATCGATATGTATATATTTTGATCGAGTAGATCGAGAGCTCTCTCTCTCTTTCTCTCGCTGCACGCGCGCGCCGCGGCGGCGCGCCGGTTTGGGAGAAAAATTATTTGTATTTGTAACTATATTTGCAAAGTACTACAATTATGAGATACTACTCTAATATTAATAATAATAATTGTATGCATAGTTTGATCAACCAATATACCTATATAAGTTGACATCAACACACTTTAAAACTTACTATATAATTACTTATGTATAACTTACTATATATAGTTATTATTGCCATAAAAATGGTGGCAATTACCATAAAAAAAATATATATATAGTCATTTTCGAGTTTTATATAACTATAATATATTATATGGTTGGCCCCGAAAATGACTATAAATTATAGTTAAATAATGGTAATTGCAACCATTTTTATGGCAATAATAACTATAATATATAATAAGTTTTAAAATTTGTTGATGTCAACTATATGTATTGGTCGATAAAACTATACATATAATAATAATTATTAATATTATAGTAGTAATAATCATAATTATAGTAGTTTGCAAATATAGTTACAAATACAAGAAATTTTTCTCTCGGTGTGGATGCACATCAACGCAATTAACATCTACGTATACGTTTTGGCCAAGTTTGTACATATGCACACAAGCGTCCCATAATACATACATACATATTTACATGCGAATATAATCTAATTCTATAAGAACATCGAAAGACTGCGAAACGCCGTCGTGTCTACGTCGGACTTCTCGCGCGCGCGTTAACGCGTCGGTCGATCGACCGTTTCTGCACGTACAAATATATATTCATGAGTTCGAAGATCGTGGCGTGATGATTCGATAGTTTCGTGGATAATCTTGATGCGAATCCGATTTTCGACCGGCGCGAATAAGAAGAGGAATTCAGGAAACATTATTGCGTTTCGCCATTGCGAATAAACTCGGGGAGATCATTTTCTGAATATCTAAAGCATTGAAACGTTGATTCTGTAAAATTCCATTCATTCCTATTCTGCGCTGAGATTCCACAAAGTATTTATCTTTTCATCTCTCCCGGTGTTTGCACCAGCTGCTTTGTCGTATTTACCCGTCAAATCCACACTGCAGGCTTTCTCTCTGCTCTCTTTTGAGAAAACGGTTCGTTTCCCGCATTCCCATTCCTTTATGATCAATTGTATTACATATATATTACATTGAAGCTTTTATTTCTGCCTTGAATACCAACCATGTTTCTTATTTTATATTGTACCGCGATGTTTTTATGTAAAACTGAACTAATGTTTTGACTAATTGAATTTACCGATAAAATAATTAATCGGCGATTTCCAATATTTTTCCCACAGTTATTTTAACAAAGCGGCTCAATTCAATTAAATAGAATATCTTATTCGAAAGTTCCTTTCCAGAAAGGTTCGCTATAATCGATAAGAAGGAAAAAATATTACTCGTCGGTTGGTCGACGCCACGGTAACATCATGCAATTTTATTAACTTTCCGTCGGAAAGTTGGCTAGTGTAGAAAATCGTTCGTCCGACGTTTACAGTT